CCCAAACAGTAAAATAGTCACGCTTTCTGTCTCACCACAAACCACGTCCCTAGGTGAGGGTTTCACTTGACTGAAATAATTCACTGGAATTTTGGGAGGAAGCCGCGTCCTAGACTCTCATCTATAAGTCTTAGGGTTTTTTAGAGAGACAGAGATGCCTGTATCTCAAACTACGTATCTATGAATTTCTTATTCGGCTCTTCACCCCAGCAGCGCTGTTTGTGTGCTTAGTCACTCAGGTGTGCCTGACCATTTGCAATCCCACAGACTCTAGCCTGCCAGGCTCCTTTGTCCATGGGGATTCTCCAATCTAGAATACTAGAGTAGGTTGCCATGCCCTTCTCCAGGAGATCTTTCCAACCCAGGGATCGAACCCAGGTCTCCCACATTGCAGGAAGATTCCTTACCATCTGGGCCACCAGAGAAGCCTGAAGTGCTCTTTGCTGACTTGATATTATCATGAACACTTGCACCAGGAATCTTGACTATTTCTTTAACTTCCTTCTGAGTGGATGGACAGACATTGATAATCCCAGGCAATATGGGAGAGAGGGAACAGAAATAATTTAAAACTGCCTTTTTCCAACATATGATTTATTTCAGTTTTCTGTGCTCAGACCGCAGCTACTTTCTTCCCACATGTTCATTTTAAGACAGCCTTCAGTTCCCACTGGAGTTTTCAAAATGTTCTTCAGTTCAGTTCAGTCACTCAGTCGTGTCCAACTCTTTGCAACACCATGGACTGCAGCACACTAGGCCTCCCTGTCACCAACTCCCAGAGTTTACTCAAACTCATGTCCAGTGAGTCAGTGATGCAATCCAACCATCTTATTCTCTGTTGTCCCCTTCTCCTCCTGCCTTCAATCTTTCCCAGCATCAGGGTCTTTACAAATGAGTCAGTTCTTTGCATCAGGTGGACAAAGTAATGGAGTTTCAGCTTCAACATTAGTCCTTCCAATGAATATTCAGGACTGATTTCCTTTAGGATGAACTGGTTGGATCTCTTTGCAATCCAAGGGACTCTCAAGAGTCTTCTCCAACACCACAGTTGAAAAGCATCTATTCTTTGGTGCTCAGCTTTCTTTATAGTCCAACTCTCACATCCATACATGACTACTAGAAAAACCATAGTTTTGACTATATGGACCTTTGTTGGTAATGTCTGTGCTTTTTAATATGCTGTCTAGGTTGGTCATAACTTTTCTTCCAAGGAGCAAGCGTCTTTTAATTTCATGGCTGCAGTCACCATCTGCAGTGATTTTGGAGCACTCCCCACCAAAATAAAGTCTGTCACCATTTCCACTGTTTCCCCATCTATTTGCCATGAAGTGATGGGACCAGATGCCATGATCTTAGTTTTCTGAATGTTGAGTTTTAAGCTAACAATGTTCTTAGTTCTTAGAATATGTTTCCTTTTTATAATATAGGAGAAGGAAACAGCAGCTCTTATTTCATCACTGCAGCAGGATTCAACAACTGTTGTGTTATAATTGTTATTTATAGTACTTGCAAAGAGAAATCTCTGCTATATTTATAATTATTTCCCCTTTTTATTCTGTATTTTTGCTCTTTTTTTTTCTGGCTTGATTAACCTCTCTTAACGTCTATCTCTAGTGTTGATTTTATCAAAGAATCAGCTTGTGGCTTTTTAACTTACTGCATTATTATTTACTTCACTTGCTTATTTTTGTTTCCTTTGTATTCTGTTGCTTCTAAAAACATGTCTAAATTGGATTCTTAAGTTTTTAAAAATTAATTAATTAATTTGACTGTGTTGTGTCTAAGTTTTAGTATTCAAGATCTTCCTTGTGGTATGTGGGATCTTTTTCAAATCTTTTTAGTTACAGCATATGTAACTCATGTGTTTAAATATTGTTATTTTATGACAAACATTTAAATCACTTAATTTTCAGTAAAATTTCATCTTTAATTCAGGAGTAATTTAGTAATAGGATACTCAGTTTCCAAATATGTCTAAAAGCTATTCTTAATTATCTGAATCGCTAATTTTAACCAACCTATGGTTGGTAAACATAGTATGTATAGTATTAATCCTAATCGAGTATGTTATTTTATGCATATTCTATATGGTCTCAAAAATAATGTGAATTATTCAATGAATGGAGAGTTATTTACACACCTGATGTCCCAATCTGGTTTATTGAATTGTTTAGAAATTTGAAATCTATGCCTAGCTTTTGTATGTTTTAGCTATTAATTTCTCAGAGATATATGTCTATAAAGCCATCCTCTACATTTGTTGGTTTGTTACTCTACTCATTCCTGTCAGTTGTTGCTTAAATTTGTCACCCTTTTAGCTAACGAGATCTTTATCTTAATATGCTTGTTTCTCTTTGGTGTCTCATTCCTTTCTCTATGCTGTTGTATTATTCTCTGTGCATCAGTTTCTCCATAGAATGTACTATTTTTCACTAGCTGTTAAGAGTAAACAAGTTAATACTTGTAAAATACTCAGGATAGTGCTTGGCATGTAGTTTTATGTAGGTGTTTGGTTAGGATAAAAATGGCTAGAGGTGGCCATTGAAACCACAAGCATGTTTAAAGGCACTTTAGGAGACAGGATAGTTTGAGAAAATAAAAGGATCAATGATCAAATTTAGGGAAATCTGTTTAATGGCCATGTGAGGGATAAAACTTCAAAAAAAACTGAAAAGGAGTACACAAAAAAGTAGGAGGGAATTACCTCTGGCATTACCAATGGCACCAAGTGGAAAGATTAATAAATCTTTAATTAATAAAACTGCTGCTGAATAAAGATATAAATAAATGTGATAAACAGCATCAACTGAAATAGCTGAATGAGTGGTTTAATGAGTACACTTGACATTCTGATGCATTTCCCAGAACTTCTTTGAGAAACGAAGGTTTTATTCTGCCAACATTCCAACTGGGAATGTTGCCAGCAGACATGCCTTACCTATGCCTCTTTGAGTAATTTCCTTGGCTAAAGAGATCTTCCTTACCTAAGCTCATGCACCCTTCCCTGGCAAAGCCTCAATTCCACTTGAGAAAGCTTCAAAAGTTCATCTTAATTTTAGAGCTCTATGTGGGATCCTCTAAGGCCTTTGTTAAGACTGGGCATCATAACCTAATTTCTCCCTCTGCCCAACTTTGCTCCCTTTTCTTCCTTTCTGGGCTTTCCTGGTGACTCAATGGTAAGGAATCTGCCAGCCAGTGCGGAAGACTTGAGTTCAAATTTCCAGATAGGGAAGATCCTCTGGAAAAGGAAATGGCAACCCACTCCAGTATTCCTACCTGGGAAATCCCCTAGACAGAGGAGACACGTTGGGCTACAGTCCATGGGGTCACAAAGAATCCAACAGGACTTACAGCTAAACAACATGCCTTCCTTCCACAGACACTGATCCCTAATAAACTTCCTGCCCACCAAAGTCTATCTGAAGAGTCTGTCTCCCAGGGAACCCAATCTGTGACAATGGGCTTCGTTTATGAGAAGTGCTGATGGATATGAGGAGAAGTTAAGAAATGCAAAAATTAAGAAATGAGTGGTGACAAAAATGAAACAAGCCAAGAATGGGCAGCTCATTTATGTAATTTTGCTTTCACAGACAGGAGGACGACCAAAACCAAGATAGTAAAAGGGGCTCAACACTCTGCCTCCTCTTTAGTATGGGAATATTTGACTGAAAGATAAATACCACTTACACACACAGGATTCAATATCGCCAAAATTAATCTTTAACAAAGAGTGAATGGTAGTTAAAAAGTATTACTCTATGATAATCGAGACATCAAGATCTTTCATCATTTCATTAACGAGTTAGGAGAATGACTAACCAGCATTTTTAAAAGACCAAAATAAACCTTTAACTTGGCTACCATACATCAGTGTCCTAAGTTTATATTTTTACTGCTGATAGCTGATAAAACTAGATCTTTTAAACCATTCCTCCCACAACTTCCTCCTAGTCCTAGCTGAAGCCAAAGACTCAACCCGTTTCCCAGATAAGAGACTTAACAACAGTAATCAAGAGACATCTGCCAAGTATTTCGCTGGAAAGTCAGATAAAGATGCCAAAAAAGTAAGTCAATACAAGAAACGAAACTTTTAGAGAATTAAAAAACTATATGACAGTGTTATTTCCAGCGAGTATTACGGTGTGGAGGGAGACTGTAGGTTAAGTCTCGAGGCAAAGCTTTAAGTAAGAGAATAAAACCGGAGAAACCCTCAGGAAGTAGCAATAGAACAGGCGCTTGCCACAGGCAGGTGTCTTAAAATTTTCTCATTCCAGGAGTACATGTGACTCCGAAAGAGCCCTCCAATGTCTTTTAAAGCACGGACGGAAAAGAAAATTTAGACCAGCGGCAAATACGAAGGGAGGAAATTTGCGATTGCCCCGGAAACATTTTATTTTGCGTAGGCATCTCGAGAATTTTTTTCTGCGATTCGTTACTTGATCCGGAAGAAGAGATGGCAAACATCACCTTTGATTGGATTACAGTACAAGGGCGAGGTGCTAGCGAGCCAGTCATCTTGGCGACCGGATGTGACGATACAGGAAGCTGGCAGGCTGAGCTTTGCTAGCTGGCGGCTTTGGTGGGCGGGGTCGGCCGAGCCCTGCTGGCTCGGTCTTCACGGCTGACCCGGGACCCATAGGGGCGGCGCCATTAAGGCCACGCCTCCAGCGCTGATTCCGGGCGGCTCTGGAGCGAAGTCCCAGGCGCTGAATGGGTGGAGACTCGAGACCCTTCTCTGAGAGGCTAGGGACGGACCCGCCCCGTCAGTCTCTTCTATTCTTCCGGTTTTTGGTGGCTGCGCCGCCTCCCTCCGAAGCCTGAGGATACACCCTTTCGAGAGCCTGCCATCTTTCTCCTTTCAGCTTCGAACCCCTCTAAATTGCTCCGGGACAGCTCCAGCCCAACATTCTCGCTCTCGCTCTCGTTCTCGTCCCTTGGAGGACCTCGGCCCCGACACTGCCCCCTTTCCTGAATGTACTGGCCCCTCCCAACCCTATAAAATGTCCAATAACCTACAAAGGGTCTTCTTGAAACCTACAGAGGAAAAGTCAGGCAACGCCTCGCATTGGTAAGTACCGGTTTCGAATCTCCCTCGACCCGGCGGCCCCTCTCCCGTCTCTGAGCAGGATGTTGAGTTGGCCGTCGTTTCCTGACGTTCTGCAATTCAGACGCCTTTGATCCCACTGGGTGAGCACTCCAGGGAAAGTGCGCGGCAGTTTGGCGCTTAGATCCCTTAGAGCACGTCCCCCTTCAGAGTCTGACGCAGTCAGCCTCTGCCCTGGCGCCGCAGGACTCCAGCGTCTGAATTTCATAGGCTGACAGAGTAGATCTCCATGGCAGAGAAAAATCAACATGGCCGGCGCGCCTCTATGACCAAAATCTTCTGGAAGATTCTCGCTCACTCGCAGAGAAACACGCAGCAATCAGCGGATTAGCAAGTGCAGCACAGGTGGCGCTGGACCGTCAGGGAAAAATAGCTGTAATGTAAGAGTTTGTGAGAAGGAAAGGCTTTTTTTTTTTTTTGGTGATAAGAATATAGAAACTGAAAAGTTGTTTTAAAATAAGGGAAGCAATTAAATTTTTTTTCAAATGATAGCTTTATTTGAAGATACAGAAAAATGAAAATAGAGAAATTATCATGTAAAATCCTTTGGAACAGCGTATTTGAAGCAGGTGTAATGAGAATGCCATCTCGAATTGGATGTACATGTAGAGGAACTACATTTGTGAGAGGGGGATTCCTGTATTTCTTAGACACCTATTTGTAAATTTAGACAATAGTGTATCACTAACTCATTTTTTAAAAAATATTCAAGATGAAGCAAAACGAACAAAATTGTAAGCTAACATAGAATATTTTAAGTTAAACTATTCGTGGTTTGTGAGTATATAATAAGTGGTGAGAAAAAAAATATAGAAAATGAGAAGAAGAAACCATAGAAATGGAGATGTAAAAATCATGGAAGAGCATTTATGTTTGAAGAAAATCAGTATCACTAGGTTTAATCCTTGCTTTGCTAGTTACTATTTGTGAGGCCAAGGGACTTGGTTTCCAGTCTGTAAGAACACCCAGAGATATTTTAAGGATTAAAAGAATGAATATACTAAAATACTTAGTGCAGTAAACATAGAAAAGCATTGTTTAAATGTTAGCTATTATTATAATCTTAAGGATACAATTTTACTTCTGTAAAAATTTTAGCCCAGGAAGTAGGTAGTTATGAGTAGATATGAAACCTAATTGTGATAAACACTTTAAAAAAGCATGCATAATAATTTAAAACGAAATGATCATCAAAAGTGGTTAGCTAAAACTGCATTGAAAACTGCCAAGAAAGAACCATTGTATTTCAGATCATAACGAGAGCCAGCTTTTGTGCATGTTTGTTTTTTTGTTGGCTTATTTTGGGTGGAAGTTAAGGGGAAAGGCAGAGAGATTGCCTTGTATGGATATGCAAAAATGGAACTAATTTTTAATGGTTGCTGATTTCTTCTATCTTGTTTTAATACCTGCATATTTGATAACGTTTGATTTACCCTAGCTTAATACAATTTGTTTCAGGGTTTTATTCTTTTTAAATATCAGAAATTAGAGTAAGAGCCTTACTTTTTATTTATTGTGTACTTTATTATACTGTTTCTACTTTTGTCTATATTTAAAAGCATTGCAAATTGAATTATGTTTTCTACATTTATCAGTTATTTGGAGTTTGCTAACTCATTGGTTTATGCATAATTTTTTATCATCTTTGAATGCATTTTTCTTCAAGTCCTTGAGATTTTAAGTCACATATTCGGGACATTTGCTAGATGCCTTTGTGAAACTCTTTGACATTTATTTTGGTTACTGATTGCATATTTGATTCTGTTGTTTTATAATTAACAATCTGCAGGACATCCACAGATACTTTTGTAAGTAGGTGGATTAATGTCAGCTCTTTAGTTTTTTGGAAGCTTCATGGTCTTACATATCAGATAATATTTTTATTGTACAAAATCATTTTTTATAAGCTTAAAATTATTATATGATTTTCTTATTTTCTATGAATACTTGGATTTTTCTTGAGTTACCTTTTTCCTGCTGTAAAAGCTTTCAGTAATGTAATACAGAATGTTGATTGCTTTAAAAGTGTCTCTTAAATTCATCAGGGTATAATATGTAAAACCAAAATTTAATCTTATAGTACCAAGGAGAAATCTGGAAGATATCTGTGATAGTAGGCATTAAGTTTATTTAGATTTGGACTTTATATGTAAAGAGCAAAGCGAGAGTCAGAATGGTACAGTTGAGGTACAAAGACCTCGGTAGAGTTAGAGAAAGAAGAAGATAGTTAACAGAGACCTAGGTTCATATTCTAGTTCAGCACTTAGTATAGTTAAAACATTTGGTTAAAAGCTGTTTACTGTGTGCTTACTGTGTGACAGACTGTACTAAATGGAGAGACTGATTAAAGAATAGGCCATGGACCATGCCCATGAAAAATATTAACATATGGGGGAAATATAATACACTTGTTAATAAAAAAATATGCACAGGATGAATCTGTGAGGGCATAGAGAAAGGAAATTGTGGGAAAGGTTTCTGGAGTGGCCAGGTTGGGGAATATTAAGTCTTAGCTGTCCAGTTAAAAGATGAATGAAGGCTATACCCAGGCAGAGGAAATTAATTTAAAAAAGAAAAAAAAGGTATTACTAGTAATTGGTATTTATTGTTTGAGTCTATACTACAAGTAGGATAAATAGATAGCTCATAAGGATTTGCTAAAGAGAGTAGACTTTTCCCCATTGGAGACCCTTCTGAGGATTTTAAGAAAAGAACTGTTACAGTCACGTGTCAATTTTAGGTAACTGATGACAGTGTGGATGTGAGGTGCCAAGTCAGGCAAATAAAGATTCTATTTCAGTTGTCCTTTCAGAGATTCTGAAAGCCTGTGCTAGAATGTAGAGCAAGGGTTGGATTCAAAGAAATACAGAACAGCAAATGGGCAGATCTTGTCAGTGAATTGCTATGAAGAAAAGTGGGTCAATTATGATGCCAGTTTTCTGGGCAGATATTGGCAAATTAATTGAGATGAGGAATACACCAAGAAAGTGATCAGTGAGATATTTGAATCTGAAATTCAGGTAGAATCAAAGCTGGAAATTTGAGAGTCAGAGTTCACAAAGAGACTTGTGAGTCATCAGCTTAGAAGAATTATAGTAAAAGCCTATGACAATATATCCCACAGTAATAGGAATTAGGATGCCATGTGACTGGCAGTTGGCTTCTATCTGCCTTTGACCCTTTGTTGTTAAATAGGGAGCTAAATGGGTGTCCTCAGCAGGAGACTTGGTTTGGGTTATAAAATGTTTTATTGTCAGTTTGATGTGCATGTAGGTTTGTACAATGTGTTATTATCTTTGTTTATGTGATTTGAGTGTGTGTGTGTGTACGAGAGAGAGACACATACCGGTTAAATGAAATCTATTTTTCATTAATATCTCAGTTTATGCATGAATTTTGAGGACCATGTTATATTGAGGTTAAGCTAAAGTAAATACAAGAAAGTGAATGGGATTGCCCAAGAAAGCATAAGTTCTTTAATATTACTAAACTTCCATTTTCTCAACTATAAAATGGGAATGGCAGTACCTACCTTGTAGAACTGTTTCTTAGGATTAGAGTTAATGGCAACTATTTATAGCAACATCTGTTATGCATATGATGTCATGTGAAATATATTGTCATATATTATTACATTATGTACTTGTATATGTTATGTATGTGCATAATAGAGTAATAATAATTATAGAGATTATCATAATAATCATAGAGAATAAGTTGGAAAAAATCTCTTAGCAGTTGAAAATTTTGTGAAATTATCTACAAAATGTTTATTAACCTACACAAAATTTTTAAAATTATTTTTGGTTGCACTGGGTCTTTGTTGCTGAGCACAGGCTTTCTCTAGTTGCAGTGATCAGGGGCTACTCTTGGTCGTGGTACAGAGGCTTCCCATTGTGCTGACTTCTCTTGTTGCTGAGCACAGGCTCTAGGCACATCATTTTCAGTAGTTACACCACACGGGCTCGTTAGATGTGGCTCACGGGCACTAGAGTGTGGACTCAGTAGTTGTGGCATATGGGCTTTAGCTACTTGTGACGTGGGGAATCTTCCCAGACCGGGGATCAAACCTGCATCCCCTTCATTGTCAGGAGGACTCCTATCCACTGTACCATCAGAGAAGTCCTAACCTGCAAAATTTTTATGATTCCATATCAAATCTGTAAATGCTTCATTCAAAACAAAAAGTCAAAAATGTCAAATCCATGGCTGATTCATGTCAATGTATGGTAAAAACCACTACAATATTGTAAAGTAATTAGCCTCCAACTAATAAAAATAAATGGAAAAAAAAGTTATATAATAAGTTTATTGAATATCTTTTACTAAAGTTCTCACATTTTCAGAAGATTACCTGATTCATTTACTTGATCTTGGACAGCAATTATAATATTTTAATGGAAGATGATGTCTAGCAATGTATTGGGAGCTTATCAGGATCCCAACCAGTTATAGCAAAACTTACAAATAAAGAGAGATTCAAAGAAATTAAGTAAGTTTACCAAAGTCAATTATTAATTGGGAGAGCTAGGATTAGAAGCCAGTAATCTTCCTAATGCATTTCTCTGTCCTTTTTTAAAGTCTTAAACTGTATAACTTTCCAATGTAATTTCTCAGTTCAAATCCTAATTGATTTAAAGTAATTAGCATGTTGATTATTCTTTGTTTAAGTGACCTAACCAGAGCATGGGATGCAAAATCTGGCTCTGGTTTTAGCTCTAACCTTAGCTAGAAGAATATAATTTTTAGTATCTTAAATGGAAGGTCTCTTCTGTGTCTGAAAAAAATGTGTAGTGATGGAAGAAGTATGAATTTCATCCTGGTTTATTACTTCTTTCCTTAGCATTCTGCATTTCTGTTTAATCTTTGGAACTCATTCCATTTATTACTAGGAAATCATGGGTTTTTAAAAAAATTACAGCTTGTAGGACTCAATTTAGCTAATACTGTTAACAGTGTGCCAA